CTCCAATGACGGTCGCCCCCACGTGCCCCCGAAACAGCTGCTGTCCTGACAACCAGCAATCCCTGTGTTGCTAAATCCACCGAGCAGGGCCCGGGCCTTGCGTTCATTTCTCGGCAGCGTTGGGCACAGTTGACCACCACCTCCTTCGTTCCCTCGCTTTCCAGACCTCACCCGGTGGTGGGTCTGCGCCAATCCCGTTGGCTGGTCCTGGTCGTCTTCCTAACCCCCTGCGCCGTGGACGACAGGCTGCAGCATGGACAGGGCGTGCCGCATGGACCCGGGCTTCTGCGGCAGCCGTCTAGGGAGCGACGTTCTTCCCTACTGCCATAAAATAAGGGCACATTCCAAAAGCTTGAAGTAGGGGCTGGCCGGTGTGGCTCAGTGGTGGAGCATCGACCCAGCACCCAGAGGTCGCCAGTTCGATTCCCGGTCAGGGCACATGCCCAGGTTGTGGGCCCGATCCCCAGTGGGGGGCATGCAGGAGGCAGCCCATCGATGTTCTCTCTCATCGCTGTTTCTATCGCTCTCTCCCTCTCCCTTCCTCTCCCTCTAAAGTCAATAAAAGAAAAAATAAATAAATACAATAAAAGTTTGAAGTAGAAGAGGAGGAGAAAAATGAGACTTCTGAGAATCTTCTCTCTGCCTGGCGTGGTTTATAGGGTGCTGGCTGTTGGTGTTGGTTTGATATCCGTCCTTCTTCCCGTGGGCATCCTTGAATTTCCTCCACGAAACACTCCTGCCCTCGCTTCAGTGTGGGGGCTGCTGGTGCTCATGAGTCCACCCAATGGCAGCCCTAGGAATGGGCACGACACAGCCGGTCAAGTACATTGGAGCGCTACTCGCCGGGGGCCAGCCCTGGCACGGGGTGGAGCCGGAACTTCCTCGTGCTGTTCTGTGCCCTGGAGGAGGTTCAGCAGCGGCCCTGGCCTCTCCTAGATTCCAGTAGCGCCCCTTAGTGGTGACAACCAGAAACATCTCCAAACATTGTCCAGGGTGCCCGGCTGAGAAGCCCCAAGGGCATGCACCCTTGCTCAGGTAAACGAGACTCGGGCTGGGCCTTTCACTGGGACTGGCCGTCTGTGCTGGGCGGCAGCAGGAGCAACGTCTGCCCAGCAGACGGGGCCATCAGGCCCTGACACGGGGAAAGACCACCTATGATGAAGCCAACGCAGAGCGAGGCAGAGCCTCGAGGCAGAGAAAACATGTTCTCATGATATCCTACGGGCTGCTGATTCAACCGAGTTATATTTCAGTGATGGAGGCCGATTCAGATGTTGGTCCTGGGCCACTTTGACTTGGGGTCCTGTCACAGGCGTGCAGAAGCCTCTGTGTGACCTGGGGCATGTTGTAGACACTGCCTCATTTAACCCCCATCAAAGGCCCCCCAGGCAGGAGGGAGCATGGGAACCGCCTCCTGGGCCCATCCGTGGCGCTTCCCAGAGTCAGGACGAGGTTCGGAATGGGTTGGTCAGGGCCTGCCTCCTGGCCACAGCCCGGCCCCAGACAGCAGGCCTGGGTCTCCGACGCGCACGGTGCTGGCGCCGGGCTCCTGTGGGGAGCGTGGGTAGATGGCCCGCCCTACAGGCGGACCCAGGGTCTGACTCAAAGCCACGTGAGGTTCCCCGCGTCTCCTCCCGATCGTCTCTGCTCTGCTCCTGAGGGAAGAGCCAGATCCGGTGACGTGTGAGGAGGCCCATTCAGTGCGACCCAAAGGACGTTCACACTGTCCGCCGAGTGATGGACGACGCTCCTCGGAAGGGCTGGTGAGGACGGTGACGGGATGACAGTGAACGCAGGTCGGGTGCTGGCACCCACCTGACAACGCCCGGCCCCGGCCGTCACTCAGTCTTCACCCCCCGCGAACCCGGGGATCCCAGCGACATTGAGGCGCTCCTCCTTGACCCCCGAGCTGTGAGCACCAGCCCAGATGTGGAGCTGAGCCTGTGGCCAGCGTCCCGTCTCAGGAGGGAAGGAGGGATGTGTCACTAGACTGCAAGCTGAGGACAGATGGCCCAGAGGAACTGACACTCAAACACACTCTCTGTGGCCAGAGTCCAGGAGACCTGCGTTCCTGAGACCAGATAATGGGGTGGCTCGTACCCAGAGAAGGTCCCAGTCCCTTGTGCTCCCCAGTCCTCATCCCTCTCCCAAATCACAGATGAGTTTAACATGCCCTACCCGGGTGGGCCCCACGGGGGACCTGCCGGTGCCCACGCCCCCGACTCCCAGGTTGCCCAGCTCCAGCTGACCTTCTCTCCCAGCCCCTTCTGTTGGCCTCGACCCCCGCTTTGCACATGAGCTCAGCCTCCTCTTCCTCCCCGACGCCCCCCCTTGGGGGGGCAAATAATGAGGCCTCAAGATGCATTGCAACCTGCACATGTAATTGCAAGAGCGTGGGCTCGTGGTCAAACAGACCAGATCCGAGTCCCGGGCCCAGTGGGCTCTTTGGAAGCTGGGGCAGCTGCTGGGCCTCTCGGGCCTCGGCTTCATCACATGTAGAACGGAGACAGCAGGACAGACAGATTGTAGGAAGCACCGTGGGCCACGCGCGGCGGTGGCGTAGCAAGTGGATAAATGCCGGCATCTTCCATTCTGCCGCTTCTCCTGCCACCAGAGCCACGATTCCGGCCGAACTTCACCCCGACTCAGCCTTGCTCCGTCGTGATGGAAACGGGCTGGCAGCTGCTTGGGCGTCACAACCAACACCTCTGACCTCATCTCCGCATCTGAGGAACGGGCAGAGGAAAGCTCATCTCTCTCACATACGTCTCCTCTGTTGCTTTCCTATCGCTCTTGCTGCTGCGACGCTGCTGAAGTTGCCGTCATCGCCGTCATGGTGCACGTGGGAGGAGTGTGGCCGAGGGGGGAGGTGGCCAAGTCCCATGTCACACACCTGGCGCCGCAGGGAGTCAGGACTCGCTGGCCACGGCACCCTGAGCCCGATTCCAGTGTCCCTCTCCCTATGCCATCTGCTCGGGTTTAGAGCCCTCTGTGGGGCAGCCTTAGGGAAGGTGCTCACAGCCAGACGTCAGGCAGGTCCATGTCACAGGCCACAGAGCCTGGGAGAGGGAGGAGACTGGGATCAGGGTCAAGCTTCGGCCAGGGGCTTAGCAACAGTGCCTCAGGGCCCCTGGCCCTGGTGCCAACCTGGGGGCCAGCCAGACGCTTATCTGTTGTCAAACAGACTTCCCAGCACCATGGCCAGAGGCCCGCAGCTCTGGTCTGCTCGGCCCAGAGGGCAGACAGACCACGGTGCTGCGGCTGCCATGTGCCGACGCCGGCCTGAGTCTCATGCCCACCACGCGGTGGAGAGGGGGAGGCGTGAGTGCCCCGCACACTGGGGGACCTCGGAAAATGCCAGCCCTTGCTCTATGCTTCCCCCGCACTGAGTTACCATCAGTTACCGCCCTGCAAGTGGCCTCGGGGACCAGGAAAATGCCGGCAGCTCCCCTGCCTCACTGGGCACCACGCACCGTTGTAGGGCCACAGGGATGACTCAGGGTGGCTTCCTGCCCCTGCCTGCGGAGAGCCCGCTCTTCAGCTTCCCCGGGTCTGACTTGCTCCTTGTTGGGGGTGGGAGGCCACGTGTAACGGAACGGGTGGCACCTGTCCTGGCGGTGCTGCTGGAACCAAGGTCTGGGAGATCCCCGGGGGCCGGATGTATCACCTCTCCATCCAGTCAGCCCCGTAGGGAGGTCTGCTGAGCATGCTGCACGTGGTTGTCAAGGCGATGAGAGGATGGCGCTACACAATAACAGCTTCTATTAAATGAGCTACTGCTCACGGCCGTGCTGCCTCTTCACGTTCTCCAGCTCTTAAAGTCTCTGTGGGGTAGGGAGAGCGGTCTCCGTTCTACAGATGCAGAAACGGAGCTCCGATCCGTGGGAGGCGTGGCCAAGGGCACACAGCCAGTAAGCGGAGACTCCGGATCCAAGCTCAGACCCAGGGCTCCAGAGACCCTACTCTTCCCACTAACACCTCAGCACAAAGAGGACCTTTGGGAGAATTTATTGTTAAATCAATCTGACCTGAGATAAGCTTTTTTTCCCTTTTTTAAAAAATCCTCACCCGAGGATATTTTTTCCATCTTGTTCAGATAGAGTGGGAGGGAGAGAGAGGAAGGGAGGAGAAACATCGACGTGAGAGGGACACATCCACTGGCTGCCTCCTGCACGACCCTAGTCAGGGCCGGGGACGAACTGCAACCGAGGTACGTGCCCTTGGCCGGAATCGAACCCGCGACTCGTTGGTCTGGTGTTCTAACCGCTGAGCCAAACTGGCCAGGGCTGGGATAAGCTTTTATGGTAAAAGTTAATGAGGAATGGGGCTCAGGAGGAAGAGGGGATCGACGGGGGAGGGCCTGGACGGGAAACTTCGACACGGCGTCTTTGATCTCACTGCAGCCGTGTTTGAAAGTGAAAGATTGGAAATGACCTAATGGCTCTTTAAAGGGAACTGTTAGATACATCATCATGCAGTCACGCAATGGATGGATGACTCTCGGCACCTGGTGTTTGAGAAGCAGAGCTCCCTGTGCCCATACGAACCGTCTCCGGGGCACAGTGCTGTTTGCCGCTTGCTCCCGCACCCAGACCCTCCCCTGCCCCAGCCTGCTCTGTGCCCTGGGACCGGGCCTAACTCACACAGCTCCTGGTCTCGCTGGCTTCCACCTTCCGCTTGGGTTTGACCAGTGAGAGGCTCCGGCAACAGACGGGGTGGGTGGAGGAGGGAAGCCAGTGTTTCTTCCCGGCTCCCTCCCGGAGAGGACGGGAGAGTTCTGACCAAGTGCACGACCTCAGCTCCTGCCCGGCTGCCCATCGTCCACGGCCTCACTTCTCCCTGGCTGCTGGTGCCCTAGGACCACCCTTGCCCTTCCGACATGAGCAGCTCTCCTGTTGCACCAAGTGTCATGGTGTTTCCCGCTGGGGTCCTGACTATAACACAGGCGCGTTATGAAGATGACGGAGGGGGATCCCCAAACGGAGACCGTGCCCACTGACCTCCCAAGAAACGTTCCGATCAGCTTCACCATCAGCGTCCCCACGAGTCCACCGATGGCGAATATGGACACGGTGACTGACCAGAGCAGCGTCAGCGTGTCCGGGTCTATGGGGTGTCCGTATCTTCTTCCCCACGTCTCATTGAAAAAGGCCTTGATGTACTGCAAACAAACGACAGATTGTCATTCCTTCTGCTCCGCCCTGTGGCCAGAGCCGGCTGGTGCAGAAACAAAGGGCTCTTGCCGGACACTTCGTGCGGGGGGTTGGCCAGGCTCCCCCGCAGCGAGCCCTTCTGACAAAGTTGGTGGATGGGCTCTATTTCTTACCTCGCTCTGCAGATCGACAGAGAAACTGAGACTCCGAGAGACAAGGTGACCTGCTTAGTAAGTGGCAACCCTGGGGGTCCAAGTCAGATCTGACTCCAAACCAGGAGTGACCGTGACCCCTGGGCTTCTCCACCTGGAGCGCCACCTGGGAAATGTGTTGACATGTACATCCCTGGTGTAAAAAAAGCCCTGCCCCCTCGGGGAAGGCCGGGACACTGACAAACCCGCTAACCGTCACAGAAAAGCATGTCATTGAAAGCCAAGTGTTCTGTTCTTCAAGGGACACCTTGAAGAAGATGAAAAGGCGAGTGGCCGACGGAGATGACATATCTGCAACGCCAGTGCTACAAAGGACTCGCATCCACAGTCAATGAGGAACTCTAACAAGTCGACGAGAAGACCAATAACACAATTTGAAACGAGCAAAGGACTTGAACAGACTCCAGGGAAAAGGCAAGTGACCAGGGAGCTAATGACAGATGCTGACGTCACTTGTCAACTGGGAAATGCAAACTAAAATCACAATGAGATACACTTCACACCCAGTAAGTCCCCATCGCTGTCACTGATGCGAACCAAAGACGGAGGTCACGGCACTGCACTCCTCAAGAGGGCTCCATCCCCGAGATGCTCCTAGTTCCCCCCCCCCCCCCCCCCCCAGTATGGGCCCACAGATCTCTCCACAGCCAGCCTATGGCGTTGCGGAAAAACCTAGGCATGAATCCCAGCGTCATGATTTGCTGATAATTTAAACCAGCTGGACCTTGGTTTCCTCATCTGCAAAATGGGAATGAGGACACCACGGTGCCAGGGCTGTTGTGAGGGATGCACAGGAGCGTGGAGCAGGGTTGTCTTGTTCTGGAGCAGGAGCCCGAAAGTGAGCGTGTCTGGTGAGGCCAAGCAGAGGACCACCAGAAGTGTGGACTCCTGCGCTCGGGGTGAGGGGGTGAAGGGTTCAATTTGTACACCCTCTTGGAAAACAGTGTGGCGCCATCTCGTAAAATTGAAGATTCCCTAATCTACAGCCTGTAAAATCCATTTCTAGAAAATTCCTCTACAAACCTCGTTCCCACGTGCCCTAGGATGGCTCTACCCAATGGGCGTGGTAGCTCTGCACACAGCATCCCTCACCCTCTCACGGGGCTCCCCAACAGCCACTGTCTCCCACTCACCACGGTGCCCCTGCGGCCTGAGTAGGGACTGTGCTCTCTGTCGGCGGCCGGACACTGGCATTGACCCTTCGTTTCCACGGACTCCAGTGGCATCTGTCATCCTTTTGGCTGCTCCCGCATTGGAAGCCCCTTCCCACTTGGGAGACCTTCCCGCCTATGAGCCCTGTGGGACACAGAGCCCACTCATCACTCTGGAGGTTGGAAATGCCAGACAGCATCCCCTGCCCTCCCAGCATCCCCTGCAGCTAGGGCGTGGACACGTGACCAAGGCTCAGCCAATCAGAGACCTGGACTTTGCATGAGGCACCTGAAGTCACCAAATGGAGCTGGGAGCTGCGGGGACGCGGAGGGAGCTCCCTGCAGGATGGGCTTTGGGGCGGCGGTGGCCCCGTGGGAGCTGAGAGTCCTACGCCAGGTGCATTCAATGGCAGGGGAGCTGCGGGGAACCCCACAGGACCAGCTCCGGCCATGCTTCGGGGTCTTATTCCAAGCTGCAGAGCTCCCCAGCCTGGCTGGCCAGCCCTCCCACTGGTCCTGTGAGCTGCTCATTATTTTCTCAACAACTTCTCTTTTGGCTTCAATCAGACAAAATTGTTGTCGCTCACAACTACTGAAACTCTGCAAAAACACATAAATTTTCCCAGTGGATCCCCACGGCAATCCTAGTGGTAGAAACCTTCGTTTGCAGCCGAGGGAACCAAGAGTCATGTCACTTGCCCGCAGTCACATGGCCCATGTGTGGGATCCGCCTGACTTCAGAGCCCGAATGCAACGGTCCACTGGTGGACTCTTCATTTCACAAGTACCGCGTGGAAGTGAGGTGGCTAGGTACATGGAGCATTTGCGGATTGAGTTAACGGTAAGCATCAGTTAAGCCCCTGCCATGGGCTGGACACTCTGTGGCCCTGGCGAGTGCAGTGGCAACAACCCCCAAGGAGCAGAGATCATAGCAGGAGAAACTGGTCATTTCCAAGCCAAAGGAATGAAGGGGCCCTAGGAAGGCAGGGGTGCAGGGTGTCCCGAGGGTTACAGCAAATATTTACAAGGTGGAGACCCTACAGAGGAGCTGAAATGAGCACCTGGGACCTCACACGTACCCCTCTGCTGCCTGAGAAACAGGAGACCCCCATGCACAGAGGCCATTCTTGGATGTGAGCTCGGCCCCTGCAGAAACCCTGTACCGGTCCTAGCAAGTGGCGGATCCACTCTGCAGCCTCCTATCACACGCTTGCAGCCGTGGCCAGGTTCCTGCAATGAGCAGAAACCAGGAGGGTGTGGTTTGGAAGGAACTTTCCTCGTTTCCCTTCCGGCACTCAGGACCCAGAGGGAAGGGGCGGCTGTTTGTCACTCACTGCTGGGCGTTGCTGGGGGTCTCTGCAGAGAGCCCGGCCTGTGCTGCAAGAACCCCTTTCTCCAGCGGTCCCTGAAAGCTCCTTTCAAAGGGATGACTTGGGGAATTAGCAGGATGTCCGTCTTTGCCGAGTGTGAATCCAGCAAGGACCTCAGCGAAAGGCGCCTGGAGGCTTAGGTGAGAGAGGTGAAGGTCGTTTAGCTAACTATTTGCACAAACATTCACTGAATTTGAGATTTGTGGCCCTAATATATGTGGACACTAACTTGTAGTGCTTGGCTCATACAGGTTCTTAAATTGTTTTAAATTGAATTTCTGCTGTGGGTCAGTCACTGTATAATAATAAAAACGGGTAACCCATACATCTTATTTATACAGTAAGTCCTCACTTAGCATCATCCATAGCTTCTATGACTTGCAGCCAAATGGCTTATAACAAAGCCAGTTTTAGCATAGTCTAGCTGATGAAAACCAGAGTTCAGCTCCTACAGCCTCTCATCAATGTTACCACAGAAGGACAAGGAACAAAAGTACCCCAGTCGAAGACCTGCTGTAGTTCTAAGGCCACCATCCTAGCTTGTCTCTAGGCCTCCATTGGACCACCTCACTCATGAATGTCATTTTACTTTCTCATACATGACTTCCAGGTGCTGTGCTTGGGTCCTTCTGTGTGACCTGCACACCGGGGTCCTTCTGTCTGCTCTGCACATGTGGGTCCTTCTGTCTGTTCTGCGCACCTGGGTTCTTCTGTCTGTTCTGCACACCGGGGTCCTTCTGTCTGCTCTGCACATGTGGGTCCTTCTGTCTGTTCTGCACACCTGGGTCCTTCTGTCTGTTCTGCACACCTGGGTCCTTCTGTCTGTTCTGCACACCTGGGTCCTTCTGTCTGTTCTGCGCACCTGGGTCCTTCTGTCTGTTTTGCGCACCTGGGTCCTTCTGTCTGTTCTGCGCACCTGGGTCCTTCTGTCTGCTCTGCATACCTGGGTCCTTCTGTCTGTTTTGCGCACCTGGGTCCTTCTGTCTGCTCTGCACACCTGAGTCCTTCTGTCTGCTCTGCGCACCTGGGTCCTTCTGTCTGTTCTGCGCACCTGGGTCCTTCTGTCTGCTCTGCACACCTGAGTCCTTCTGTCTGTTCTGCGCACCTGGGTCCTTCTGTCTGTTCTGCGCACCTGGGTCCTTCTGTCTGCTCTGCATACCTGGGTCCTTCTGTCTGTTTTGCGCACCTGGGTCCTTCTGTCTGTTCTGCGCACCTGAGTCCTTCTGTCTGCTCTGCATACCTGGGTCCTTCTGTCTGTTTTGCGCACCTGAGTCCTTCTGTCTGCTCTGCGCACCTGGGTCCTTCTGTCTGTTCTGCGCACCTGGGTCCTTCTGTCTGCTCTGCACACCTGAGTCCTTCTGTCTGCTCTGCGCACCGGGGTCCTTCTGTCTGTTCTGCGCACCTGGGTCCTTCTGTCTGCTCTGCACACCTGAGTCCTTCTGTCTGTTCTGCGCACCTGGGTCCTTCTGTCTGTTCTGCGCACCTGGGTCCTTCTGTCTGGCCCCGCACACCTGGGTCCTTCTGTCTGGCCCCGCACACCTGGGCCCTTCTGTCTGCTCTGCACACCTGGGTCCTTCTGTCTGTTCTGCACACCTGGGTCCTTCTGTCTGGCCCCACACACCTGGGTCCTTCTGTCTGGCCCCGCACACCTGGGTCCTTCTGTCTGGCCCTGCACACCTGGGTCCTTCTGTCTGGCCCCGCACACCTGGGCCCTTCTGTGTGCTCTGCACACCTGGGTCCTTCTGTCTGCTCTGCACACCTTCCTTACCCAGGCCCGGTTCCCACCCTGTCTTCTAGATGCACGTTCTGCTGCTCCTGCCTTTGAGGAGCTCGAGAGGTAGTGGAGACAGCAGCAGCATGAACCTGCAGTTACATCGTGGGGTGCAAGGTGCCAAGGCAGGAAGCTGAGACAGGCTGTGGAAACCCAGCCGTGCCACCCAGATCCAGGGAGCAAGAAGAGCAGGTGGGTCGGCTCAGGTTGGATGATAGTAGTCGGAATTCTCAAAGGCACAGAGCTGGGAGGCAGGTGTTGGCATGGAGGAGCCATGGATGATTCAGGGGGTCAGAGGGTGGCCCAGCAGCTGGAGAACTGGGCAGGAGCTGGTCATAACTGGTGTCAACTCTCCGCCCAAGGAGTCCGAGAGTAATCCCGCAGGTACTGGGGAGAGACCGGAGGACTCGCACAGAATCAAGAGTTCGGCTTTGGGGTTGAAGCATGGTAGGTGCCGGGTGAGCTTATGTGAGGAAGTTCAGACTGGAGGCAGCACCAGCCAGGAGGCCCTCCAATTTGTAAGAGATGATGAGGCTTACAGAACTTTTAAATAGGCCTCCTGTGCAGAAACGTCTGTCCGAGGCTGCTGTCCTCTGCAAGGCCTGCCTGTGCCGCTGGCCCCGCGCTGGCCTTGGGGAGGTGGATCTGGGGAGGGCCCCGCCTTTCCCAGAACCGAGCAGAGCGGCTCCTGGGCCTGAACTGGGCACAGCCTGGCGCAGGCTGATCACCTGCCTCCCCACTGCGAGTCAGGAACTGGGGACCTGCCAAGCCCCTAACAAAAGCCCTGAGTGCTGAGGTTCTGATGAGCTTCCCGGACGGACACTTCAGAGGTGTTTTCACCGCTCAGTGCGGGGCCTTCGGGGTGTCCCGTGCGCCTGCACCGGGGACGACTGGGACGCTGGGGCCTGGTTTCCCGTGGACTTCGCCCCTCGCCTTCTCCCCGGTTCTGCCTGGCGCCTTCCGCTGCAGTGAACCAGCTGTGAGCGTGCCCGGTGCCGGTCCCGGGAGTCCCGGTGAGTCAGCGCACCTGGGGGTGGTCGCGGGCCCCCCACACCTCCCAGGTCCTCGGGAGCATGTCGGCTCCCGTTCTGACTTGCGACGGTTTGCTTGTTTGTGGTCTTCATGCTCTGCCCTTGGTGTGTGCTAACTGACTGGTGAAAGAAGCTTCTAGACTTCCAGACACAGAGGATACTTGGCTCCCACTGCTGGCTCTCAGAATGAAACCGAACACGCTGAGAGGACGCACCCCTTGTCGGGGACAGTCCCCTGGGGAAGGCTTTCAGATCCCTGGTTCCCCATCTGCCACCCACGCCCCGAGGGCGGCTGGCCCAGCCCTGGGGCTTAGTGACATAGAACCGGAAGAGTTTCCTTTTGTACTTGGCTCCAGGCGGGCGCAGACAGAAGTGTTATCCCAAATAGAAAGAAGGGGAAGGAGTCCGGAGCCTCTCCCCTGCCGGGACTCGCTGCTGGGACATCGCATAGCTGTGTTCACGGGGACAGCGTGTCCACGCACACCTGCCGCTCCCCCGAGGGAGCATTTCCCACTCCGTCCTGTGCGGCTGGGTTGGCTGGGAAGAAGGGGGCGAATGTGTTACCCCTGGTCACACTGCTTCTGGCCGCTCACAGTCAGGAGGCAGCAGAGACTTTCGCAGGGCACCTCATCCACCCCACGTTCAGCCTGATGGTTTGAGCACCTGTGCTCTGGAGCAGCTTGTCTGTGGGAAAGGGTTAACACCCTAGCTTGCAGGTGGGGCTGCAGGGGAGTTAGCTGAGGGTGTGTGGTCCTTGGCCTGCTGTCCAGCACATAGTAGTTGCTTAATAAATCCCAATGTCACCCGGCCAGTGTGGCTCAGTGGATTGAGCGTTGGCCGATGGACTGAGAGGTCCCGGTTCGATTCCCGGGCAGGGCACATGCCTGGGTTGCAGGCTCGATCCCCAGTAGGAGGTGTGCAGGAGGCAGCCGATCGATATCTCTCTCTCACATTAATGTTTCTATCTCTCTCTAAAAAAAAAATCAATAAAAACCTATTTAAAAATAAATAAATCCTAACATCCTTTTCCTGCAGCTCAGAAACAGCACATTTCCGCTGTTCAGTGTCTGACAGCTCTGCCCCCACCCGCTAAGCAGAGCTGCTGAGCTCAGGGGCTGTGGTCCTCGCCCCACGAGGGCCAGAGGAACTGTGTGAAATGAGAGAATTCTGAATCACAGGAGCAGGCCTCCCAGCCCCACTACGTGGGACGCCCAGGCTGAAGCAGGCAGGGCCAGCCCCCATAGTCCGGGTCACCACGATACCCACCCCCAGGCCTGGCAGGACCCCTCCTGCCGGCCAGCATCTCCGCGAGCTCCAACTGCAAGCGAATCAAACCAAACCAAACCGCGACTCAGCTCCCAGTGTCAACGACGCAGCCAGCTGTGTCTTACCCCCGAGGGGAATCTGACAGCAGCCTGGGAGGCCACATCAGGAAGGCGGACGGCCTCCCAACCAGCAACGCAGCCTCAGAAACCCTGGGCTGGAGCCTTTTCAACAACACGGAACATGCTGGCGACAGAAGTAGTGAGCCAGCAAAGGACAGAAAACAGCATATATGAACAGTCTTTGGGAAGAACGTTTATCTAGACAAAGCCTGAAAAGTAAGAGAAGAGTCTGTTTCGTAAGACATTACAGTGGTGGATACATGTCGTTACACACGGGTCGGAACCCACAGAATGTACACCGAGCGGGAACCTGAAACTGAACTAAGGACTTCGATGCATCAAGACAGGGCCGCGGATTGTGACTGGTGTGCCGCCTGGTGGGGTGTGGACAGTGGGGGAGGCTGCGTGTGTGTTGGGGGCCAAGGGGCCCCCGGGAAATCTGTATTTCTGCTCAGTCTTGCTGTGAACCTGACACTGCTCCGGAAAAGCAAGTTTATTAATTAAGACAATTCTGAAACCGTGACAGAATTGCTCCTCGCTCGTGTTCCCATGGAGATGACTTCAACTGTTGCTTTCCACCCGTCCCGTCCCGTCCCGTCCCATTCCAGGTTCAAGGTTACGTGTCTGCCCCTCAGGCCGGAGTGCCAAGGTTCTCCACCCTCTGCCGGAGTTTCAGCGGAACTTTCACGATGAAGCAAGGGTGCAAATCCCAGTCCTCGTGTAAAGACCAACATGGACAAATCAGATCCCCATCTCGGGACGCTATCAGGGTGACAAAGCAAAGCCATCGAGAGCGGCAAGGTGTGGGACCATCTCCACCCCCTGGTTTGCACAGTTTTCAGCATCAGCATCAATTTGCCAAATGAACTCAGAGTGAACAGTAAAAATCAGAAACAAACATGAACAACAGCAACAAACATGAAGCGAGGATGCCCAGAGCCTGGCTGCTGTCCGCCTCTTAGCTCCTGCCCCGCGCTCTCCCAGTCACACCTGCGCCCCAACCGCGTCACACCTGCGTTTCTGCAGCGTCCTGCAGACGCGTCCCTTCTCAGGCCCTGTGCCGTCGCTGCCCCCAAGGCAGAGCGAGGCATCACCTCCTCCAGGTCATCTCCCCTCAGCCCGTCCACCCTACCCCTGGAATGAGCAGCACCTACACCTAACAGCCCAGGTAGGTGAGAACCAAACCTTCACCTGTAAAAGGCAGGGCAGTGCTCGGGGGCCTGGAGGAATTGCACCTAGTGACTCGAGTCCAGAGAAAACAAAGCCAACGATGGACCTTAACCGGCAGCGACCTCTGTCTCTGGTTCAAAGACATGAACGCTAACAGAACAGACCAGGGAAATGCTGAAGTCTAGGGCCCCTCTGAGGCTCCTCAGACTCCGCGCTCCTTGCCCTGGAATGAGACCCCCAGGACCTGCCCCCAGCACCTCCGGAAGCCCCTCCTCTTCCTGCTCTATCCCAGGACACACACTCCAGCCTCAAGGAACTGCTGACAACCCTCCACACACACATACACGCGTGCACACACACACATACCACCACCATCATCTGTTCCTGTATCTTCCACCTCCCCTCCGAAAGCAGGGCTAGTGTCCTCTCCGCCCCGCTACCACCCCCACCCCAAGCTGGCACAGAACCTGCCCGCAAAGTTTTGCAGAATCTCGTACCACCCAATGCCAGGCAGCAATACCGGCGTTTTCTGCATCCCCGCAGCGCCCCCTGCTGGGCGCCTCCCTTGGAGCCGGGCACTCACCGGAGTGGGGGCGTTCACCACGGAGAGGTTGTATCCATACAGGAAGGAGGAGCCGAAGGCGCCTACCAGAGAGGCCACGATGAGCGAGCAGGACCAGTCCTGGGGAAGGAGAGGGCAGCACGTCAGACCTGGCCTCCTGCGGTTGCAGCTGACGTGCTCAGTGTCTGACCACGGGGGAGCACAGAGCAAAGCCAGACGAAGTTGCCGGCAGTGGCCGCTGGCTCTCACTAAGAGCTTTGGGCCGGGGGTTGTTCTGAGCACTTTCTGGGAAGCATGTCATGGAACCCACAGGTCAGTACTATCTTATCCTGATTTTATGGGTGAGGCACAGAGCAGTCCGGGTGGCCTGGCTCCAGCCCCCACGTAGTCACCCTTCCTGCCTCTTCATCTGGGCACAGTGACTAGGGCCTTGAGCTCCTGACAGCCACCCAGATGTGCACACCCCTTGCACACACGGTTCCAGGCGGAGGGGCCAATCTTACAGGCCGGGATGAGCACCTTGGGACAAGGACCTGCAGACAGAGACCTCCAGGACTTGGCCCAGAGAGCCAGGCATCTGCCTCCATGGAGTCCTGCCCTGTGGCTCCAGCCAAGAACAGCCACAGCCACGACAGAATCCCAGAGCAGAAACATCTGGACCCCTTGGCAAAGTCTGGCCAGCTGGCAGGAGCTGGAAACAGGAAGGCGGTCCTCCTAGGCTGGCCAGGGGAGCGTGGGCCACTCGCCAGATGGAGAGGACCCAGGTGTCCTTGGAAGGCACACTCTGGGCCGTCGTTCCAGTCCTGTGTTCTCAGCACTAGGCCTTGGCAGAGCTCCGGGGATACAGCGGTAAACAGACACAGGAGGTCTATAGTCCAGGCAACTGTCAGCCCAGTGATCTCTGGGAAGGGCAGTGGGACCCTGACAGCCAGCTGCCTGCTCTGCCCCCGCAGCCCCCTCCACACGGGCTCCACGGCAGACGGCTCTCCACGCCGCCGCGGGACCCGGGCCAGTTTCTTGACCTTCCTGGGCTCAACCTGCCCAGCGGTGAAAGGGCTTCCGAGCAGCTGGCTGCGCAGGCTGTCGAGGTCAACGTGGTGGACGTTTAGAGTGTCGTGTGTGTGCCTGTAGAGAGTGTTCAGAAAGGGTGTGGACTGTTTCCTCTCCCCACGCCCTTCGACCCAGTCGTACAGATGGCTGTTGCCCGAGCGACGTGCCAAGGTCTCTGTGTGGCTCTATTCACCTGAAGTCCTCCCTTCTGGAGACAACCTATCGAAGACGCATCGCCCATGTCTCCTCCCTGAGCACGCCTCCTCCTCGCTTTGCATTCATCTCTGATTCCACTCCGTCCAACCCCAGCTCTTACGAGGGTGTGACCTTACCCCACCACCCAGCTGCCCTGGGCCAGTGGGGATGATGTTAACCCACCTCCTGAGAGATCATGGCGAAGGAAGGAGTTAAAGCAGGCACGGCCCTCCCCCGTCCTGTGGCAGAAACCCATGCGTGCCAGCCGCAGAGGCTGGACAGCGGGTGGGGTCTTACTTTAAGGGTGGCCTCTAGCTTCCTGCTCTCGGCCTCCGGCACGGTGCCTGCTGCAGGCGAGGCGCTGGTGGCCGAGCGGAGGGCGAGATGGAGGGTGTACAGGCCATGGGGGTGGAGTACAGTCCACCCTCTGTGTCCACGGGCTCCACGTTCAACCACCCGCAGACTGAAAATACTCCCCCCAGAGGTTACACTGTTGCTGATGTGTACTTTGTAGTCACTTGTACGAGGTACTGAACATGCACAGACATTTTTATTGCCATTATCCCCTAAACAATGCGGAACAACTATGTACACAGCATTCACACACGGTGTTAGGTGTCATAAGTCAACTAGAGATGACGGGAAACACACAGGACTGCGCAGATGATACGCAAACACGACATCGCTTTATATCAAGGACTGGAGCACCCACGGGTGTGGGTGTCCAAGGGAGTCCTGAGACAAGGCCCCCGCGGATGCCGAGGGGCGGCTGCGTCTTTCTGCAGTAAGAGGAGCTGGAACATAACGGGTTTCATCGGCGGAACATAACACCGTTCTCCACAGCTGTTGTCTGTAAACTCATCCTCTGGGTCTCAGTTCTGGCCACGCCTCCTGACCCCCCGCTGTGCTGCGCACCTTCTCTCCCTGGGCCTCCCTTGCTCCCAGCACCATCAGAGGGTGAAGGACAGGTGGGAACCATCTCCTGGAGCTCCCCGCCTGCGTGGCCTGCCTGTGCCCACCACCCCTCACCACCAGAGACAGAGGGTGCAGGCTGTGGAGACAGGGAAGGAGAAAAGGGACTGCACCCAGGGTGGTCTCGTTACATGGGCACAGCCACACTGCCAGAAAGTGCTGTTGGCCCCAGGAAACTGTGGCCACAGAATCGGAGCCCCTGGGCCAGAGTCACAGGGACCAGGATGCAAAGCCCCATGGCCTCTGGGGCAGGGCAGCAACAGGCATGCGCGGGTACCCGCCAGGGCTCGGAGCCCTCCCTGGTGGGTGCAGAGGCCCATGTCCGTTTACCTGGTTTCTCCTCCCGCCTGGCTTCCCGCTCCTTGGCCAGGCACACTCGGGGGGCCCCCAGGCGCTCGGGCCCCGCCTGAGGGGAGCTGAGCTGAGCTCCAGGGAGTCCATGCTCCAGTCCCAGCAGCACCGGAGTGCCCCAGGGCATCTCTGTGGGTGAGGAGGCAGAGTCCACGGGAGGGGGCGGGCACTGCTCCGGAAGTGTGGCAATTTTCTCGTTTGAACAGGAAATGGACTTTTTTTTCCCCCATTCCTAAGTCATAGCAGCAACCGGAGCAACAAGGAAACCTGACTTCTCCAGAACCACTGGAGCACGGATTCTTCCTTTGGAAGCTTTTCCTTCTTAACAGGGCCCGTGAGCAGGGAGGAGAGAGAGACCAGCACATCTCCCTAAGAGACGGGACAGGCGAAGGGGTCCCCAACTTTGCAGTGGAAGCCTGCGGGGGCTCCCACCCTGACCCCACCCCTATTTTTCTCTTTCGATGCTTTTACTTAGCCTATCTGAACTACACCTGCCAATCCCCACTGTTTTACTGTGTGTCCTTAGGTGAGTCACTTTGCTTCTCTGAGCTACCACGTGTACAAGTGCAACACGGCAGACTGATCCCACCCGACTGTCCTGCAGAGTTGTTCCGAGGCTCGAATAGGAACCGCAAAGCCGTGCTGGAGACGGACAGGGGCTACCCTGCTGCGCTAGGACAAATGGCGGCCGTGTGTGGAAGAAAAAGAACCTGCCGCGGGGTCAGTGTCCTGTTCATCCAGCATTCAGAAAACCCGGTTCATGCGGATGTGGCTCCCGGGCCCGCCTGATCGGCTCGGGGGAAGCACGAGATCAGTCAGACCCGTGGGCGCTCAGGGGGGTGAGGATGATCTCACCTGTGGCCGGTTTGCCCACGTCAGAGAAGCACCCTAACTGCTCCAGGACAGGCCCCTTGGCCCTCTGCTCCAAGCCAGAGGCTGGCAGGGGTGTGTGGGAAACGGACCCCGGGAGGCCAGGGGGGCCTCAAGGCCACGACACAGAGGCAAGAGGCCAGCAAACGGCTGACGGTCGAGCCCACAGAAACGAGACCCGCTGGGAGCCTGTCACCCCACACGCGTGAGAACCTCAGCCGACGACGACAGCGACAGGGAAACCGTCTCGGTGGGGAAGCCGGGCTTCCAGAAGGAGACGCCAGCCCTGGTCATCAGGCTCACGGAGCACATGAAACACTCAGTGCGATGACCAGTCTGCGTCTTAGCCCCGCAGGGAAACTCTGGACTTGACGTTTAGCACGATGTGCCCCCCAACCCTCACCCCCTAGGCGGAGCTGGGGTCCAGAGCAGGACACCGCCACTCAGTTACGACATGTCAGCGATGGCTGAGGATTCCCCAGGAGAGCACAGAGGAGGTGCTGAGCTAACCTGGGGCTGGGTCATGGAAGACTTCCTGGAAGCGGTGGTCCCTGGATGAATAAGCCTGGGGAGTAAGCCTGATGAATAACCTGGCCGAGAAAGGTGTGGCGGGGTTACGAGGGGAGGGGGAATAGTGGGGTGTGGTTGGGACCTAGGGCGTGGGCGGGGCTCTGGAGGAGGGGAAATCCTTGGGTGTGGGCCAGGCACTGGCGGGAGACAGGGCACATCACCCAGTGCTGCCCAGAGGAGCCATGACTCAGCCCAACAGGAGGACCCAGGACCCACTTGGAGGGAGTGTCTCTGTAATATGACTCCGGCTGACCTGAGGCAGGTGGCGTGGCCTCCCTTGACCTCTCTTTCACACCTGTGAGATGAGAGGATAATGGTGCTCCGCCTGCCAAGTTCACACTTCCCTGGAAATATACCCATATTAATCTTTGTCCTGCTACATAAAGACTTTATATAAACAGGGACATGTTCTCTCCTGAGCCCTGATTGCTTCCACACCCATCACAGGGGACCAGGCACACGCCCGTCAAGGTTTGAGACCAGTTCCACCTTGAACTAGCTACAAGTGGCCTCGGCCCTCTCTGTGAAACCCGGTGGCGAAGCCTTCACCCTGGAGTGGCCAGGAGAACCCAGCACGGAGGGTGCCGACTGGCTCCTGATTCTTGCATCTGCTTTAAAGAGAGGCCCAAGGATCCCAAGGATGGAGAGAGGCTTTCTAAGTGCGGGAGGACTTCCTGGAGGAGGGGCTGGGGGCCTGGGCCTGTGGTGGTGTGGGGGATGGGTTTCAGTGTATCCTTAAGGATGATGACATCATGTTCAACATCAACGTCCCCTCTAGAGAAATGGCCTCTGGAATGAAGGTGCCTGCTCCCTCCCCAAATCCGGAAGGTCACCAGCAGTTAGCATTATTGTCAACTGAAGTCCCAGCCATCAGCGGGGCCTCACTGCATGCACTGCGCCCTGCCTCAGCTCTGCTCTCCTGGCCTGGCCTCCCCGTACCTGCGTGCCCCTGGGAGGGGTGGGGGCACGGAGGGACCGCCCCAGAGTCGCCGAGATACTCATGTAAGAGAGGGAAGGAAACCAGGACTGACCAGTTTCTTCTTCTCCGAAACGCCTTCCTTGTTGGCGGCTGGGTCGTTTTCACTGAGCTTCATGGTCTGTGTTCAGGTTTGGGACTGGGCTTCTCTGTTTCTGAGAAAGAGGGAGAAGAAAGAAGCCGTTACACCCTTGCCGTCCGATGGGGGCGACTCAGGGGAGGTGGCCCTGAGCCGGCGAGGGGTCCCGGTAATTACACAGGATGGGGGACCCTGCTCCCTTGGAGACCCGGACACCCCCTGCTCCTCTGCGGCCTCAGTGGCTCCATTTGTGAGACGTTGGGTTGACTATGTCTCTGGTGCCCACGCTGGCCCCATTGCTTTTCCATACGAGCCCCTCCCGGCACAGCGACATCCAGACGGCCATTCTCACAGTGGGCACACCTTGCAAACCCAGACTCTGCGTCCCCAAGATGTGAACATCAGAGCCGTGAAAATTAAAACCGAGTGCCCGCCTCCCCTGTCAAATCGGAAACAGCGACCGACATTGCCACCCCAGTCACTGGCATGACGGAAGTGAAAAACGCTCAGCTTCTCTGGGATTTGGGGATCTTTTTGAGCCATAAAGACATTTAGGCCCTCTGGCTCGACTCCTCCGTTTAGAGAAATTCATCCTAAAACAGTAAAAAAATGTGCACCAAGATCCAAGCCAGAAACTGTCACTGAAGCATTTTTTCATGTTAGAAAAAAGAGGATTCGCAACAGAAAAAACTACGTTAAGAGGAAAGTTTAAATAAATGACGGTGCCTCCATAGGATAGAAACGCACGCAGCACCTGACACCTGGCGTTAAAGAACCTTTGATGTCGTAGGGAGACACTCGGAATGATTCCTACGTGGTAAGAAGGGGACTAGCTAGAAAAGAATCGACGTTAGTCAGCGTTAGAAACAGATGTTCTTCAGAGTCACTCAAACGATACATGTACTTAAACTGTGTCTGTGTTTTAAATTTTAAATTAAACGCGAAACAAAATATTTAGACATTCAATTGTGTGTTCAACAAATATGGACTATGCCCCTGGCATCTCAGCTGATGGGCATGCAGTCCTGGGCAAGGAGACCTGCGCTGCCCTCATGAGCTCACATCTAGGAGAGTGTGGCGGTGGGCGCCAGCTGCTCGTGGGCACAGGCGGTGAGCTCATGTCCCAGCACAGGGTGCGACGCGGGGTCCTGGGTTGCAGATGTGAGCAGAGGACCGATCACAGATTTACATGCACAGAAAATGAACCGCTTGGAAGCAGCTGTTACCACTTGACTGTGCTATTTTAGCCAGTTATTCTCGTCTTTGTTTTTCTATAGTTTTCCATTTCTACCACTAGAAAAAGAAGGGTTATGTTTTGCAGATATGTTTTTATTGCTTTTTTTTAGAGAGAGGGGAAGGGAGAGAAAGATAGAAACGTCCATGTGATGTGAGAAACACCAATCAGCCGCCTCCAGCACTCTCCCTACTGGGGATGAAGCCTGAAACCTGGGCATGTGCCCTGACCGGAATGGGACCGGTGACCTCTTGGTGCCTGGGACGAGGCTCAAGCCACTGAGCCACACCAGCCGGGGGAGAAAGAAGTTTTTAAAATGCCTTTAAATTTTATGAAGAATTCGGCCCTTATGGTCTCAAGGAGCCAAAGAGACTTAAGCAGTAAAATTCTGGAAGAACGCAGCTCTTACGGGATGACGGGCTCTGAGGTCCAGAGTCGCTCCAGCTGGCCTGACAAGAGTGTGGCCGGATCAGCTGCTGTCGCCGACACTTCAGTGGGACCTGGGAGCTGTCCCCTGAGAAACACCGCCTGTCTCCTGCCAGCGCACACCAGGGACACTCCAGCTCACTGGACCTGCGTTTGCTGGCCTCTCTGGTATTTCTCGGGCTGCCTGTTGGCCTCGAGGACTTCCCTCCCCCGCCCACCTGCAGGCTCGCCGGCTCCGCCCCCTCCCTGCCCCTCTGGGAGTCTGGACCACTGCCTCCATCCCCTAGCTGCTCCCCTTCCCCTCGCAGGAGCCACCTGGACCAGCTGATAGCTCTCGTGTTCTCAGCCACCGTGACCTCGTCCCGAGGGCTCATTGTATCTGTCACCTCGGCTAGGCCATGCCGTGCGGTTGTCCGTCTGGAGACGAGGCGAATGTTGCTGGTGCTTTTAGAACTGTTAATATTTACTTTAAGTGACTTGGGTAGCTCTCCCTAAAAACGGGGGCCAGCCTCCCCCAGTCCCCGGAGACCCCGAGTGTGAACACAGAGGTGCCCCGGAGAGGAAGGAATTCGGCCTCAAGATGACGACATAGAAATGCTTCCTGTGTTTCCCAGCTTCAGGCAAAAACGGCAACATCAAGCCTTGGAATTTCCAGATTGCTGGCTTGTCACATGGCTTGGGGCTGGCTGTCCCCACACTCGCATGAGCCAATTCCTTAGATTCCACTGGTCCTCAACCTTCCCAAGGCCGCGGCCCTGTAATACATTCCTCTTGTTGTGTGTGGGTGCATCTGCATGTGGGCAGACCCGCCTGGAGACGGACAGAGGGGCGGTGTCTCGGTTCCTAAGACCATCGGAAATAATGTGTTTTCCGATGGTCTTAGGCGACCCCAGTGAAAGGGCATTTGACCCCCAAAGGGGTCGTGACCCACAGGTTGAGAACCGCTACCTGAGAACCTCCCCCCACCTCGGTCTCTTTCTCTAGCCACAGGTATCACACGTCTAACGTCCAGACACGCCTTTGGGTTCTGTTCTCTGAGCACCCTGACCCCGTGCTCCTCACACTGGGGGCACAGTCTGGTGCAGAGTGGGGGTGGGGGTGGGGGAGAGACGCGAGGACAGAGCTCACGCTGGGCTCCGGTGGGACAGCGTGGGACACGGGGAGCAGAGGGAGGGTGCCGTGGCCCCACCTGCCGCCCCAGGGGCTGCACTCGCGTAAAGGCGGTCAGCACGTACCCTAGGGACTGCGTGCCCCTGGAGCCGGCCGCGCGGTGGCCCTGCAGGCACTGAGGTCTGTGTCCTCCTCAGTCTCCCTGTGCGATGAGGGATGATTAGATACCAGGCCTCAAGGGATGCCTGCTGAGTCCTTGGTGTCTGCTTACAGCCGACTACCACTCATCGAGCTGGAGACACCCAGACAGTGATAGCCATGGGGGGGCAGGAAACGAAGAATTCTGTCTAGAGAGGGAGGTGGAGAGATGTGTGAAGCCTCCAAGTGCAAATATCACTCGGGCAGCTGGAAATACGCATGGTGCTGGAGCGCAATCCCACGGTCACTAACCTCGCAGGAAGAGGGTCACCAGGGAGAGTGGAGAAGGAGAGGAGCCCGACGGAACCCCGACCTGGAAGGAGCAGGTGGGGGCCGGAATGGCAAAGGAGACTGAGTTGGAGAAGACAGGGAGAGGGAGGGGTTAGAAATGACAAGACGATAATATCCCAAATGTATCAAGGACTCGGAACTGAACCCGAGACATGCGGTGTGCCCCAGGCCAGGATGGGGGAGGCTCATGCATTCTTCTCAGAATTATGGGGGATCATGCTGGGCACCAGCAGGATGTGTGGGGGGTGGACTGTGCTTCCTTCAGGGTCACGGTCACCTCCGATCTCCTAGTCCCAGGCCAGCAGGAAAGGACCGGGGAGCAGAGGCCTGAGACTGTGCAGCTCACCCTGCAGAGACCACCGCAGAGCTGAGAATGACCTCATCATCCTGAGATGTCACGTCACAGGTGGGAAGCTGTCTACCTGTGCAGAAAGCCTGCAACCAGGCGGCACGGAGCCAGGGGTTCAAATCCCAGTTCTACCGATCACTAGCTGTGCGGCTTGGGGAAAGTTATTAACCTCTCTGCACCTCTGGTCCTGTATGTCAGGTGGGGAAGGATAACAGGATCGCCTCCCAGGGCTGTCGTGAGGGTTAACAGAGGGAATGTGTGCAAAGCACATCGTGAGCGCTAACTGGTGGGGAACTGCTGTCGCCATCGCGAGCCGAGGCCTCTGCCAAGCGCAGGTGGGGCCCTTCTTGTCTGCGAGGTTCTCGCAGAACGGATGGCGTCTTAGAACTGCTAAGAAAGAGCGAGGGGAAACCCTTTGGTGTTTGACTAGAGCACCCTAAACTGCCTCCAAAACATTCTCTAAGGTAGAAATAGAGTAATAAATAATCTAACATAAAATGAAAACAAGCTCTGTGAACGAGGTTCTAAAAATACTAGCCTCCTGTCCTTTTGATTCACAGTAACAATATTCATACGGCTGCTAGTCAGCTCTGACACTCGGCCGGTGCCCGCCAGGGTGGCCAGGCCAGTTCTTAAAAGGCAGAAATGCAGTTGTGCCCACGCCTCGAGCCCCCCGGTGCCCACCTGCCACAAGCCAGCAGCTGCAGAGAGCAGGCCTCTGCTCTGGGCAACCCGATTGGCGCCGCCTGGGGTTGAATGCTTAGGAACCTACGTCCACTACCCCTGTGGCTGCTTCTCCCATCACTGAGCCCCACGGACCCGAGTGCTGACACCGCACCTGCCGTGTCGGAGACCAAGCAAGCGAGCCTCGTCGTGTCTTTACCCACCCAACCTCTCACGGAGCTCAGATCTGAGCCCCGGCAGCCTGAAGTCAGACCCTCACTTGTTAGCCTGCGTTGGGGAAAGGACAGAGGCAAAGAACAGGCAGTGACTCACCCACACACAGCAGAAGGTCAGTGGACAGCCCAGGGTCTTGTTCTCCCAAACCTGGCTCGTGCCAGCTGGAGGCCACCGCCCTGCAGTGGTACCAGGAGCCGCTGTCCCGAGCAAAGCCCAGAGGTTCCAGAGCCGCTGGTGGACACCTCTGCACAGGAAATGCCACGCCCCCTGGTCCCCGAGTGCTCTGTGTGAGAACACTTGGCTGGGACTTGATTTTCAATTTTCGGGATTAATTCTCTGCTGACTTTGGTAGGGAGCTATCACTAATCCTAACCCAAAACATAGAACAGAAATGTGGAAACAGAGCAGCTTAGAAAGAAAAAGAGAGAGAAGGGAGGGAAAGGAAGGAAGGGAGGGAGGGGCAGGGTGGGAGGGAGGTCACCGGACCCGGTCACCAGTCATTGGAAGAACAGCCAGCATTGACCATGACCCAGTTCATCTTTGTATTAACATCAGACACCGTGCTAGGCACTCAACGTGAATGTCCTCAGTCTTCACCATCGATGTCCAAACCCCCCAATTTTCAGATCCCTCCTTGCCGCCGCTCCGCAGGCGCTGCGGTCATTCCTGAAACCGCCCCAAAGCCGTCCCGGTCTGCGGGCGCCGCTTACCTGCTCCCTGGCAGCGTCTCGCCTGTCCCGGTCTAAAGAGCAAGGAGAATGAGCTCCACAGATAGACCGGCTCCCCGTAAAATCAGATATAAACCTGGGAAATTGTGAAAGAAAACAGCGTTAATGATTACGTGGCACCCGGTGGGGCCGTGACGGTAAACAGGCCGCGATGCCTATCTCGACAACTAATGAATGATTAACAAGCACGCCCAGGTTCGGCTCCGCGAGGTCCGGACCGGGAGTCGGAGGCACAGGTACCCCGGCGGAGCCCCTGCCACTGATGGGGTGACCTTCCTGGGCGTCAGGTCCCTTCCTGCCGACACGAGGATGGGACCAGAGGAGGACCAGCGTGCCGGGGCTGGCGAGGGCAGGGGCGGTGACAGGCAGGGCTTACAGAGCAGGACACGCGCGAACGCAGCGGATCGAGTGCTCACCCCAAGGCCAGGGTGAGGCTGAGCCTGCTGCTCTGTCAGCGCAGGAGGGGTCAGGCCGCGGAGAAACACGCGTGAGCCGAAAGTGAAGCACACGGGCGACGTCCATTCTCCCTTCAGGACCCTGAGACAAACGGAGGGCTGGAGTGGCAGAGAGCATGTAAGGGACCCAAAAGTGTGCCCGTGGAGCCGGGCGAGTCCAGCTCTGCCCAGGCACCTGACCAGAGAGAGGTGAGGGTGAGGGAGTGCAGGGAGGTTCTGGGGTGGAACACAGAGAGATGGGTGCCCAGGAGTCCCCGGCGTCTGCACATACCCAGGCTCCGGGCGACAGGGCGGTGCTGGGAACACGGAAAAGCCCATCCGGTTCCCTGGGCACCGACAGCAGCCCGACAGCAGCCCGACAACCTTCCCCGGCCAGCCCTGTTTCCCCAGAGCCTTGATGTTGGCAGGGGGTGGGCCTGGGGAACGGGGAGAAGTCATCTGCTCCCTGGGAGACATCTACTCAAGATGTCGACAGCGGCCAGCCTCCGATGTCTGACACGTCACGCTCTAGTGAGATGACATTTCCGTGATTTCCGTGCTGAAGGAAATGCAGACACACCAAGTGGGGGTGGCGTCCGAGCAATGGGACGCTCTCCGGCTTTGCAAACCCTCCGCGATGACCCGCTGGTGCCCGCCCTCCTCTGCCCAGCAGGCACCCAGGCTCGCTCTGGGCTTTGGATGTAACTGAATTGCCGGCCTCCGGCTCCAGCCTGCTTTGCTCCCATCCCCTCCAGGTTACTAGCTTCTGCTCGCTGCTCAGCCTTGAACACAGACGTGAGTGAGCATCACTAGGGGGATTCTGCTCGCTGCTTGAGCTTCTCAGAAACAGCCCCAAACAGAGCAGAACGAAAACACACAGCCCGCCGCACCAAAGCTCCTGCCTCAAAACTGCCTCCCCGAGGAGAAGGAAGTATGTTCCAGGGTAATGAGTGTTTGTCAGAGATTTATAGGTACGTGGTGACCAGAACCACAGCAACGGGAATTTGCCGAGCAGGAACAAAGTTCGCCTCCTCGGCCCTTGCTGGTACCTAGATGCCTGTGACGGTCAGTCACCTGCTGGCCTCGGCCCCTCCCGTCCCCGCTCCCTTGACACGCAGGAAGCCTGAGTCCGGTACTTTCTCAGATGGTTGTGTAGGAAGCGATCCACCGTCCTCTCGCTGGCTTTCTGGGTCCGGCGTTCTCCTTGTCCTGACACCTGTCGGTCCTTTACTGGCCGTGGCGCGGCGGGTCGTATAGGCTTGGACTTGGCTGCATCTTCAGCTGCGGTGAAATCGCTCTGGCCAGGATTATCCAACCCCTGGTTTCGCAGCATCTAGACAGACCGTGTAGGAGATGACTGAGAGCCAGGCAGTGGGGTCAGGCCTCAGCCCCCCCTGCTGCTCCCCAGCGTGTCACCCAGGCAAGTGCGTCCGACAGCGGCTGGGGCTGCGCGCCTCAGGGCCGTGTGCGGACCAGTGAGGCGCGGCCCGGGACTGCTCGCCATGCAGCAAGCGGCCCGTGCTTGTCCACCATTGCTGTTCTTATCGGGACAGCTCCTTCTTGGTCATTACTTTTATTCTTGTGTCTTTATTTATCCTTTTTCAGACGTTTGTGGAGCCCCTGCCATGTGGCCGACGTAGTGCTGGATAGGAGGAGGGCAGACCCGTTCCTTCTAGTGGGCAATTCGGAATCGCTCAGAAGGATGAGCCCTGGGAGGGGCCTGCGTTCAACGGGCACCTCCTTTGTGCCAGGCCTGGTTATGCGTAGCCTCACTTACGCTAAAAGCATGCCAGGGTTCTAGAAGTCACCCCACTTGCCCAGAGCACCACGGCTTGTGAAGGAGAACTGAGGTTTAAAGAAAGACCACCCACTGTGCTGCCCCCCATTCACCACTGCTCTATGGAAAAGCTCCTCATCGGAGGGGACCCTCAGAGTGACCCTCTGGGCCTTGGTGTCAGAAACATTTCTCTTTTTTCTTTGGGGCAGCCCAGCACCCAGACTTTCACTCTGGAGGGCCTCGCACTCATGGGTCTTGGGGGCTCATCTCCCCACGCTCTCAAGGATTTCCCCCCAGCGACTATGCCGTTTCCCTTCAGCATCACCAAGTTCGCCATCTCTGTTCCAGGCTCGGAACAGAAATGTCTTAATATCGCCAGTCAAACAAACAGCAACAAAGGCAAAGGCGTGGAGACACTGGAGCCTCGTTCGTGGCTGGTGGGAATGTAAACTGGTTTGGCCCCGTGGAGAAGAGTCTGGTGGCCTCTGAAGAGCCGGACACGGAGTTACCCTGTGATCGGCGGCTCCAGGCCTAGTGCAGACCCAGGCCTGGAAATGGGTGTTCGGCGCAGGCACCGGGGCACCGAGGCTCATAGCGGTGCTGTTCACCGCAGCCAGAGGGGGGCACGGGCCGAGTGCCCGTCAGCCAACGAGAGGAGAGACGGTCGTGGTTTATCTACACAGTGGAATAGTATACAGCCGTGTAAAGAAATGACAGCCTGATTGATACATGTTACAACGTGGAAGGACCAGGACACGTTTGATCATTTCGTTCAAATGAAACGCTCAGAATCGGTGAAACTATAGAGGCAGAGAGCGGATGAGGGGTGGCCAGGGGCTGGGGGAGGGTGCGGATGGGGAGCAGCGATTCGATGGGCAAGGGTTTGCTTTGGGGATGATGAGAAGGTTCTGGAACTAGACGGAGGTGCTGCTGGCACGACTGAGTGCTGAATGCCACCGAAGCATCCACCCTAAAGTGGTTCGTTAATAAATCAAAGCAAACGGTTAATTTGATGGAAGTGGATTTCACCTCAGTTGAAAACAACAACACTTAGTTGACCCCATGGCTTCCAGCCCTCACCCCTTTCTCAGGCTCTTTGCAGAAAATTCTCCCAAGGAGACTCCGCCGTCTCCACTGGCACCCTCCATTCTCCTCAGCTCCTGCCCGGAGGGTCCTGACCCACCACAGACTCAGGGTGCTCTTCTCGGGACATAGTGACCCCAAGTCAGCAGTCAATTCCCTGGACCCTCCCAGCAGCCTGGATGAAGCTGACCACCCCTCTTCCTCCTGGGTCCTCCTAGAAGCATCCTCTGCAGCCAACACACTGGCCGGTGCGCCCTCTGCCTCACTGTCCATCCTTCTCCGTCCATCCAGACCACCGCGGTGGAGCGTCCCAGGACTCAGCCCAAAGCCTCTCTCTGTTCTACTCACACTCTTCCCATGAGTGACCTCACCCAGACTTGTCACCTTAAAACCAACGATAGGCTGCTGACATCGAAATCTGTCCCTCTGACTCAAACCCCTCCCCCCACGATCCAGACGCAAGTGTCCACCCTCCAGTCAGTGCCGTCACTTGGCTAAGAAGCGTTCCAAACATAGCAGGTCCCAAACTGAACTTCTGATGTCCGGGTTCCAGCCCCCGCCACCCCCAGTTTCTCAGCCCAAATATCCGACTCCTTCCCTCCTCTGGAGTCCCTCCTAGTATACCTGTCCAAGTCATCAAAACTGCCGCCAATTCTGCTCTCTGTTCTATTTGGGGCAGATGACATCAGCTGTCACCTGGGAGACTGCCTGCCGCAGCCCCCTGGCAGCCTCTCTGCGCGTCCCCCACTCCCCGGATGGTTCATCCAGGGGCGCCTAGAGTACCTTCCTGCGGCAAGACCCGGACCACGTGACCCACCCTGCCCGAAGCCTAGTGGCTTTCCTAGAGTCAGACCCCACCTAGCCGGCCCCTCGACCCAGATGCAGAGCCCCCTCCTTGCTCGTTGAGGTGACAAGGCTTCGGCACCCCAACCTGGCTTCCAGCGCTGTCTGTGCAGCCAAGCAGCTGTGTGACGTAAGCGGGTCACATGAAGGTCCCTGATAACAAGGTGGGTGTTCCTACCCATGTTGGGCCCAGAGCGAGAGGCAGGGGCCACTGAGGAGCATTCTCTACGCAGAGGTGGGCCGGCGACAGTCTGGGGCGACGGCCCCGTGTCCCACGGTGGGGGAGGGACCTCCTCACCCGGCTGTTCTCCTGCTGCTTGCTTCCCAGGTTCTCTGCATGTTCCCAGGCCTGCGTGCATGGTTTCTCTGCCGACTCGGTCACCGGCTTCCACCATCGGCCCACCGAACTCACTTTCTACCCAAGCCCCTCAGGGCGCGTTTGAGTTGCTTGTCGCCAGGAGTCCAGCCTGTCCATCGGGCTCCCCGTAGGAGCTGCCTCCAGGCCTCTCCGCACTCGTCCTTCCTCTGGAAGCTCAACCCACGCCCGTGGGGCCAGGCAGTTTGCCGTGGGTCAGTCCTGCCGTGGGCTTGACCACGTGGTTGGAAACACAGAGCAAATTCCTTGTGACGAGAGAAGTCAGTGAACTCAGTGCAGTCCTGGAGACCCCCTTGGAACTTCAGTCATTTGAAAAGGGGAAAAGTTGGCCTGGCTGGTTGCTCAGTGGTTAGAGCATTGCCCTGGGGACTGAAGGGTCTCAAGTTCAATTCATGACCAAGGGCACAGACCTGGGTAGCAGGTTTGATTCCCAGACCTGGTCAGAGTCATGTGCGAGGCAACCAATCAATGTGTCTCTCTCACATCAATGTTTCTCTCTCTCCCTCCCTCCTTTCCACCCCCCTAAAAAAAAAAA